GACCCATACCATTGGGGGGGGGAGGGGGGGGGGTCCGGCCGAACCGGGATCATATATATATATATATAAATATAACGACTACCATACAGGTTTGGCTCAGGCCAGACAGCGACAGTATTGCAACAGCATACGCCCAACCGCCCTAGTCATATAGGAGCCTTCATAATTACAATAGGCTTTTGAGGCCCATTATGCTATAAGTATAATGAGGAACCCCAAAACAGTACTGAGTAATGATTTAAGCCCGTACAGTACATTTAGGGCTGAGGGGTCCGAACGCTTTACAAACCCTGAACCCAAAACTTCCCCGGTGGCAGAGAGCCCCAACAGCTTCTTTTCTCCGCCCTCGCTGTGCGCAAAAACAGGCTTCCTGGAGCCGAAATAATGTAGGGGCCTTAATAATTAGAATAGGATCGTGGGGCCCATTATGCTGGAACTATAACGAGGAACCCCCAAACACGATGGGTAATTATTAAGGCCCCTACAGTAGGTCCGGTGTTGTACCCGAGGTCCGACGAAAACGGCCTTAGGGTCTAAGACTAAGCCCACAGGGTCCTCGGCTGTATGGTAGAATGTAGGGTTTCTGTATAGGGAATCATTTTTATGAGTGGTGAAAGTATCCCCCTTAACAGTACCCAGGACCCTTTGGGAAGGTCACCACAGTGTAAAAGTACGCAGCTTCCGTTTTGTTTTGAAGGGAGACGGGGGGTCGAAGAGGCTTGGGTACAGGCTTCGGGGCTGTTGAAAGTCTAGGTTGAACATATCCGGACTCTCGATTGGCAGGACTTCTTCTGGTTGACCTCCTGTTGCATCTATGTACGTACGTGTGGGTATGTGTGTATATATATATATATATGTATGTATGTATGTACACATTGTGTGTATGCATGTATACATGGTCAAAGACTCTTGAACCCAGATAGGTGGGAAGTCAAGAAGCCACCATCAAGGGGTCAACTTAACATCCTGCAGGCAACAACCCCTTATCCCTGAGCGGATATCTGGCGCTCGACGAGCACTTCGCAAGAGCCTTTCGCCAGATCTGCCAACAGTAGCCTGCGCACTTTTGTTGGGGCGGGGGAGATGCGATGCGATGCGATTCAACCAGCGAACAACTTTCAATAGCCCCGTCCTAGCGTTTATCCCGAAACAGCATCAATAACCCCAAGCCAAGAAGCAAGGTCTGCAGCCACCGCCCTCCCACATCGCAGGCATAGAGTGCCACGTCATAAGTCATGAAGTTACCTGATGCCCAAGGCCCAAGGACCTTATCCCTAACAGAATTCGAGGCTTCATTATCGGTTTACAATTACAGCATGCAAACGCAAAGTCAAGTGCCACTTACCACGGCTTCAGGTCCCCTCAATGCAGCTTCGAGACCTTTTTGATTGCACGAGCCTTGGGAACCGTGAACCCAGGTAAGCTCAGATGGCCATCATTGGACTTAGGACTTTGATATCTAATTAGAGCCTTAGAGCTCACAAGAGATCCCAAAACCAGATAACCTAAAAGGCCTCTACCCCTGTGCTAGAATGTAGATTCCAAAGACGAGGAACATGCCGCGCAAAAGCGCTGAGCCCCGAAAGAGCCTGCACAAACTACTGCAACTGTCTCTTTATCATGAAGATCGAAGCCCCTGTCCGATCTACACACTTCGAAAGGGGTCTCCGACCATCCTACCATTAGGCGAAACTGTTCACTTTATATAGGGGCAGTAAGCTTAAAGGAATACTGGTATCAGAAATTCAGACTGAATCATGAAACCTCCCCCCCCAAATCCTAAACCCCAAACCATCAAAGCTGCACTCCCCAGCCCGACGCCCTCAGTAGGTCCTGAGTCTTCCCCAGACCCGAAACAAACCCACCTTTCTAAGGACTGTTGCAAGGAAATCATAACAAGGAACTTTAGAACGGTAGGCCATGTTGCGTTCAGGTCAGGCCATCCCTGCACTGAACTCTAAATGCCTGACCCGCCGCCCCCCCCCCCTCCCCCCGAAAAAAAATCCCGGTATACCCTGCAGCCTAAGCCTAAAACCTTCAGCCGTATAGCCTGGGAGGCCAGTGCTCTGCATTTGTTCGAGGACCTTCAAAGCAAGCTCCCATCGACGCGCGGCGCCTTGGGTGTTTGGGGGTTAGCGGCTTAGTGGTTTAGGGTTTATAGGGGTCGAGGTTTAGGGAACCATGAATTAAGGAGACAAGTAGAGATTTAGGGTTTGGGGTGTTTTGTGGCTTGAAGGCATTAGAAAAGGATATGGGTCTCAGGGTCTCAAGGCATACTTCGGGACCTAACCTGACAGCCTTGGCCCTACACTGCATTGGAAACTGCAGGGTTCAGGTACCTGTTGGGCTACCAGACATGGGGCATAGAAAAAGGGTTTTGCAAGGTGAGCTATAAGGGGTTATGTAGAATCCTCCAGGGGTGCACGACCAAAGGCCCGAACCGCAAACAAAACCTTCCTGAGCGCGCTCCCATCTAGGAATCTAGGGTTGGAGGGCCTTAAGACATGTCGAGTTTTGAGAACATCTGTGGGTGTAGATCAAATTCCCTGCAGAGTTGTTGGGTTTGTGCAAAGAGAAATGGGGTTTAGGGTTTAGCGGTTTAGGGTTTATGTCTCGACTGTATCGTTGTGACCCGACCGGTTTGCAGACAGGATGGGGACACGTAATTAATTGAGCAGAGTGGCTGCAAGCCGCAATGGCAGCAGTGTAAGTCACGACGTTGGGGGTGAGGCTGACAGCGGCCATGGTCATCAGAAGCTGCATGGCCTGCTGGATTTAGGCTTTCGGATTTTAGGGTTTCAGGGCATATGGCTTAAGGGGATATGTGGCTGCTCGATTGGGGTTAATATTAGGCTCAGGGTCAAGTTCCTTCGTGCGGCAACCTCAAGACTGCAACTGAAATGCACGAATAGTTAGTGAGTTTCAATACCCAAAACCTCAGCAACCAAAGTGAAAGCTCTGGGACCTGAACCTCTGAAATCTTCAGTCCAAGAGATTGGGCTTTGGGCCGGGCATGGGACTTGGCCCGACAGCATCCAACATACGCGAGTTACACAATTGAACTAGAAAGCCCCAAACCCTGGCCCTAAACTGGCTCTCAACCCTAATTCGGGTCCGTGGGTCTATAGCGGTTGAGGTGGTGCTTCAGGCTGCAAAGCTGCAGTTACATAGGGTTGTGGCGATTGCGCCGTAAGGATCCAAGACTTCAGCTGCTCCCCTTTGAAGTTGCGAGACACATGGGGGCCCGATGCGTATAGACACTAGGCTCATGTGTATAGACACCCAGCAAGGATTCCCTTCCACCCCCTTCCTCCCACATACCCGCAAAAAGCAGCAGAGATTCGGCTGAACCCTGAGAGCCCTGACCCCCCGAGCCCTCCGCTTGCCTGCTGCCACTGCTGACCCTTCTCACAAGCACTGATGACCGCACCTGACAGCAAACCCCAAACCCCGGACCCTAAACCCTGAACCCTATAGACCGTAAGAGGCTGAGAGTCAAAGAACCCCGACTTGTAATGTAGAGCCCTGATGCGGAATGTCGTCCCGAACACCATAATTCCTGGAGTAGGCCACATGAACCCCAGTTCGAGGGTAGATCTAGAGGCTTTTCCAAGCCCCAAGCCACCGCAGTCAGTAGACACTGACCTCCGTCCCAAGTCTCCGATGAAGGCATTAGGCGAGTTCTGATGAAGGCGTAGGATTTGGGAGCCTGGGGTCTTCGGTCTTTGTATTCTTAGGTTTCGCATACCCTAAGCCTCCAGGTACCTACTATCCAGGGCCCTAGGGGCTCTAGTACCCTATATAGTAGGTAGCTGGGGGGTTAGGGATAGGCATTATGTAGGAGGTTATGGGTTTTGAGATGGGTTCGGCTCAGGGCTTCTAGTCTCGTCGTCAGCCTTGGAAGTTTCATCGGGTGCGGCTGCCAGGTTGTGGAGGTCCCAGCCAGCCAGGAAGCCACAAAACAAGCTGACCAAACGAAAGGACAGCTCAAGTTAACTGCCTTTGTAGTAGGGTCTTAGCAAATTTATGCAAGATCATTTGTCATTTCAACATCTTGCCTAAATGGATTCAAGGCAGGATGCTTATCATCCAGAGCCCTGCCATCCGGATAGTCGACCAGTGGGAGAATGATCTTGACATGCAAAACGGTGGCGAGAAACGAACAAGCAAACAAATTCACAAGCAAAGCTCTCTCTCTCTCTCTCTTTCTCCATCGCTCTGTCTCTCCCTCTCTGAAACATATGCTGCATACGTTTACATATTATATATATATATAAACTCACACGCAAATACACCCCACACAAATACACCCTCTCCGATTTTTCAATAGTCGAATAGATGATGCATATATATATATATATATTGTATTTATACATATGTGTGCATGTACACACTCACACACAAAACCCGAATTGACAAACCCGTCAGCTTAGCTCGTTAAGACTACTCGGTGTTCACGCGGGGTTCTGCTTGAATTCAAGCAACCGCTTTTACGAGAAACCCTAAACCCTGAAACCTAATTCATCTAATTCTAAAAAGCCACCAGAGTTAGTTATTCATCTATCCGAGGTCTTCTTGGAACCGGGGCGCTGTAGGTGATGACGGTGGCCTCCACAAGCCCCACAAGCAGCCTCTGAAGAAACCTCACTTTGGGGTTATTGGGTTTGGAGTTCCGGGGGTTGGGGGCGAATAAATGGGGCTCTGGCAGATACTCTAAACCCCTAAGCCGCGGGGCAGCAGCACTTTTGAGGAACGTGTTCTTTGTCCTTCAGGCTCTTCTTTTTGGGGCTTCAGGACCGATGGAGGGGTGTTGCTCAACAGCTCATGGCCATTTGGGCAAAAGAAGACACCTGAAAAAGACTGGAAATCCCGCACGGTCTATTTCAGGCCTAGGGATTGATTAGGGATCACTCCATCCCAATCGGTCAGGTAGCACCAGCGCCTTCTCCCATTGCTCACCTTTCCTGACAGCGGTTGCAAAACATTCGGCGGGCTTGCTGCAACGGCCTAATGGCCGTCTTCGTTGCTCACAAATGTTGAACATGTCAAAACTTAAAACGGCGCAAACTGACTTTCAATGTAATCGGAAGCACTCGCGTCGGTGAGATGTCAAGGTTGGAACAGAGTTCGCTAACTCCCCTGGCGCGCCAAGTCTCTCCAAGGCGCTCAGGAGAGAATTGTAGGTGATGGTGTTGCCTTGTATACTTCGACATGTTTGGATCGAACATATGAAAATATAAGGGCTGTAATCTGGAGATTAGGGCTGTGTGGCGACTCGGTGTGATTAATGGGTGCCAGTACGTACGGCTTGGGGCTTAGGAATGCCGGCTCGCAGTTCCGAGACCACGGCTTGCGCGTAGACTCTTACCTTTCAGAGCCAAGGATTGAACCTAAGAAACACAAAATCCCACCTTTCCAATTATAGAGATTATCTAGCCTAGTATAGAGTGTTTAGCCAGCTAGAACGCTAGAAAACACAGGGCTACAAAGTGGCTTGGTCGGGGATCACGGCTTTAGGGTTCAGGGTTTTATTTGGGCCTTGTAAGGGTTTATAAGGTATGGCAGTTTAGGGTTCAGGGTGTGTATACCCCTCCAACACTCCGGGGCCTTGAAGTTGGACTCCTGAACCCAAATTATCCCTAGATAGACCCTTAACCCCCGAACCCTTGGCGGCCCGAAAGATTCATAAACCCTGCAAGTCCTAGTCAGCCACAAATCCCTAAAGCCAATAAAACCTGTAAGGTTCAGCACAATAGAAGTTCGGCTGGGTCATAAAGCTGTAAACCGGTTGCATGAGGGTTTTACATGGCTTTTATTTTTGTTCAGAGAGAGTAACAAAAGGAAGGGTTCTGTGAGGGCTTAGGATGTGGGTTCGAGGTCGAAGATCTAGAGTTTAGGTTTAGGGTTTGAGGTGTAAGGTCTAGGCTCAAGGCTTTATCTTTCGGTTCCGGGGTGTGCGGTCAAAGTGTGTGGTTTGGATGTAGCGTTCGGGGTTTAGTAAAGGGTTGAGGGTAGCAACCCTAAACCCTGAACCCTAACCCCGAAACCCTATGGCCTTCAGGGTCCTTGTCCTTAAAGCTTTGACCCTAAAGCTTCAACGACCAACCCTGCACACTACAGCTTTAGCCATAAACCTTAAACGCGCAATCGGATTCCTTCCTGTAGATCCGGGTTTAGGGTTTAGGGTAGATCCCAATCACGGGGTCGCTCTTTTCTCTGGGAATGATTCAAGCCGCTACATTAGAGGGCTTGAAGTCACGGCTACAGCGCGCAACGTCTAGGAGTTTAGCTGTTGTGTCCAGAGTGAAGAGTCCGGCCTAGAGTGTAAGATGTTGGGCTTGGGGGCTTCAAATCTGGAGTCTAGGGGATTAATGGCGAGGAGCTTGGGGTGTACTTCATGGCCTTTTCTAGGCAAGATTCGTTCAGGTACGACTTGACATATTCAAAAACATGCAAGGATTTCCACGGTGTAAACAAGGCCCCAAGCCCCGAAACACCATGAACCATAAGCCGTAAGCCCTGATCAACCCTGTAAGCCCGACTGCAGACCGTGACCCTGAAAATGCCATGGCCTAAACTCTGAAGTCTTTGCAAAGCGGCTTCGGAGCTGTCTTGTGCCATCCCCAGGCTCATGTTTAACTGAAGGGTTTTCTCTCATCTGGGGCTTCGGGACTGGCCGAGAGAGACAATGGATTCATGGTGTTAAGCGAACTGAAGCAACTTTAGACTGTTTAGTCGGAGCTTGTGTTTCTATCTTCACCGGAGGAGCCACCAATGCAATACTAAGCTCTTTGCGACCCGATCGATCTGCTGATAGTTGCTGACAGGCCCTCTCCTTCCAATCCTAACCAGCCTAGTGTAGCTTCCAACGTACATCGACAATAAACCCTAAACCCCAAACCCTAAACCCTAAACCCTAAACCCAATAGAAAGCACCCATTCTGAAATGGCGATTCAGGGACACTGGAGAGAAGAAGCTTCTGCCTTGGCAGGAAGCAGAAGGCACTCTCAGGGGCTTCAGAAGGTGGGATGAAGATAGGCGGGATTCAGACTTACCCTAAACTCGAAACCCCAACCCCTAAATCCTAAACCCAAAACCCTAAATCCTAAACCCAAAACCCCAAGCCCTAAACCTTAAACCCAAAACCCTTTTATAGAGGTTCTTATTTGGGAATCCCCGCTGGCTTCATCCTGTTGGGGTCTTATCTCGGGATCCTTATAGGGTTTAGACTTCAGGGCTTAGGGTTTGGAGTTTGGGGCTTAGGGTCTAGGGCTTGTCAGGGTTTATTGGGGTTTACAAGGGATTCCCGGGTCATGGCTTTAGGGGCTTATGGATAAACCGTGTGCCCGAAACCGGTCTATGGTTCAGGAAACCCACTGGATGTGGCAATCCACCTCACTAAAGCTGACCTGAAACTACCATAATCTTCTTTTGTGTAGGTGCTTGTTTCCGATACCCTCCTCTCTATATACTCTTGAAGTGAAATCATCTTCATGGGGGGGGGCGGCCCAGGCGTACAAGAGCAGTCATAAGTAGGAACAGACAACACAAGGACCCTCAAAACGCCTACAACTTTATGTTCATTGCACTGCAGATTTTTCAGCTTAGTAGTCTCCGACCCACTAGGCACTAGACTCCCTAAGTCGAAAAAGCTACAGCACTACACTCCCGGAGCCCCCAGCCTGAACCTTCTCCCTCATAAACAGAACCTTTCAAGTGATTTTAGGGTTTAAGGTTAAGGGTGGTTTAGGGTTTAGGGTTTAGGGTTAAGGGTTTAGGGTTGCACCTTTAACTCCAAACCTCTGGAATGGGTTTCAACCCCCCACCTCCCGAAAGAGGTGGAGAGCCACTTCCCACTCTTGACGCTTTTCACAAGCACTGATTGCCGTGCTGTAGGAGAAAATGTCTACCTTATGGTCGGGTGCGTCGTTTCTGCTTTCGGGTTAAGAGTATTGGCTTTTCCAGTGGGTCTTATGGCATTGGTGTTTCAGGGTTTGCATGGATCTCGGAGCCTTAAGGTTTCTAGGGCAACGTGTCATAGCTTTCTGATCTCTGTAGCATCGGAGCTGGTGTTTAGGCAGCCCAAGACACCACTCCCAATCCCTAAACCCAAACATGTTGAACCCTCAACCCTGAACCCTGATCCCTATATTCCGTATAGTTCCGCATAGACCCCAGCTCCGCCCACTTCACACCCTAGCTCTCTCCCTTTTCATGCGGCTAAACCAGCTGAATCCCATGCCCTCCCTATGGACCTCCGAGTAATGAATCCGTTTGGCTCGGGGGCCGTGTATCAGGATCCCTCATTTGTCGTCCCTTTATGAGGAAATTAGGGCGGTTCACTAGTCACGGATCTTGTTGACACCGTACCCAAACCTTTCGTCCCCGAAGCACACCCCAAGCTTTACCTCTGGCCCCAAAAACCCTACAATTTTCACGCGTTGTAATGAGGTCAATATAGAAATCTAAACAGGGAACACCCAAAACGGTAAGCTTTTTCGACTACAGGTAAGCCCTCTGCTGTACATCAGACTGCTCCCAAGACCTGCCTATACACCCCAAGCCGCAAACCTTAAACCGATCTGGGCTTAGGATGTAGGGCATAATGCTTAGGGTTTATAATTATATAAGAGATCTGTTCAAGAACCCCTTCGGCCCAGTGGCAGCGAAGTTGGCGTCCTGGAACCTCACAAAGACAAGAGTGTGTCGTAGCCCCTGTCTGAATACTAAGTAGGCGAGACCTTCTCGGGTTGTGGATAACAGGTTATGATATAATGATGAGCAGAATAGAAGCGGCACACCGGTTGACGACTGAAGCAACTGGTCGACCCGGCGGCCTGAAATAAGCCCCGATGTGCCAGACCGCAGGAACCAACATCCTAAAGTCTTGATTGAACTCATAATTGTTGGGCTGCATTTCTATAGGATCCTAGACCCTAGGTTGGCTGAGGCTGAAGCTCTCCCAGCATTCCCACAGCCCGCTGCCACAGCGCTGCAGTGGAGATGACACTAAGAACCTGAGACAAAACAAGTCCTATACATTCAGTGTTTGCGATTTGCGTTGTTTATGGTTGACGTCTGAACCTTCACCACCGTCCCCTACAACCAGTGGGGAATCCTCACTTCTGTTATTAGTGATATGCGTGGGCCAGACAGACCAGGAATATCGATGTCTACATGTGCAAGTATGTGTGTGTGTGTGTGTCTGTGTGTCTGTGTGTCTGTGTGTCTGTGTGTCTGTGTGTCTGTGTGTGTGTGTGTGTCTGTGTGTTGTGTGTGCGAGTGTGTGTGTGTGTGTATGTATGTATGTATGTATGTATGTATGTATGTATGTATGTATGTATGTATGTGTGTATGGTATGTGTGTGTGTGTGTTTGTGTGTGTGTGCGTGTGTGTGCAAGGGTGTGTGTGTGTGGTTGGTGTGTGTGTGTGTGTGTGTTGTGTGTGTGTGTGGTGTGTGTGTGTGTGTGTGTGTGTGTGTGCGTGCGTGCGTGCGTGGGTGGGTGGGTGGGTGGGTGGGTGGGTGGGTGTGTGTGTGTGTGTGTGTGTGTGT